GTTTGTTTAATTAATACACAACCTTGAACTGTGTTTAGTGTGTGTTTATTGTTTCTACACTGTGAAACAGTCCCTGGAAAAATTGTCCATAAGTTACAAGTAACAAAGTACATACGTATTCTGAGTTATTTGAAGTAATATCATTTCTGGGAAATCTCCAATTGATGTTTTAAAGGTGAGGATCATACTGAACCCTAGACAAAGTTTCTTACATTGGAATGTTTCTTTTGCCAACTTGTTTTTTTGAGTTTAGAGGGGTATGCACTAAGTAGCTATTCCCTTACTATAACGAGCCGGGTGGCAAAAGGGTTACACATATATACTGCATGCAGTGTTACAGTTGTGGTTTGAACAAGAGCACTGGGCATTTATCATGCCTTGTGCTCATGAGACACACTCAGCTAAAGAATGTTACTACAGCAAGGTGTTATTAATGTTTTTCAGAGTCTAAGACACAAAAATGTGCTAGTGGGTTTCTGTGGCGTTCACAGAGCGGCTGAGCTGAATGACTCATCCTGGGTCGAATCACAGCTGAAGGAGCAGCAGGCGGCTCATTGCGGCGGGGGGGGGGGATCACCTGGACAGGTCTGACAGGTCCTCTAGCAGGAGGACTGTCTAAAAATACACACTATATGTGCAATTCAGTGATGACACTGTGTGACAGTGCTGCAGTGTCTCACTCTTTTTTATTCCTCTCCTCCTCCTCCCTGTCATGCCTCTCCTCTTTTTTTCTTTTGATCATAAGACAAACCTTCAGCAAACATCCACATCTCACTTTAATGCGTCAGCTACCAGACCGACTCCTAAGGTATAATGCCTCTTTCTCACCACTAATTCACACAAAGCAAGTTTTTTTTAGGTAGGTGTTGATTGGAGGCACTCGATGATCCATCTTCATTGAAGCTGAGATGGATTTTTCTTTATCACTCCTGATTTGAAGCCGTGAACAGATACTGAGGAGTAAAAGTGACTGAAAGTGAAATTAAAAGCTTCTCTTATAACAGATATAATCAGTATTTCTATATTTAATAGTGTCACAGAGAAGTTCCTCTCAGCTTTACACAGAATTTTAGCATTTTTCAACCCCTCGTTTTGGTTTTTCAGGCCACAACTGTACTGTTTGGATTCAATCTCACTGTTCTCAGTGAAATCCTCCAACTGCAACTGAAGAACCATGCTAGCCAGAAAGGAATTAACAGGATAACTTTAGCTGGCTAACTCCCATGTCAGCCACATGTGAAAACACGGACGCAGTGGACACACAGGCACGGTGACTCACTTAAAGTTGTTGTTGTTGGCGTGGGGTAGTTTCTCACAGGCCTTGAGGAGAGCCTGAAGTCTCTTGTCTTGATCTTGAATGCTGCAGGATGATAGAAAGATACACAGGATTTTCAGGACAATATGGTACCTTTAACATGTTATATTAAAGAAAACAAAGGCAGAACATGTATGAATGACTTTAACCTGAAGACAAAGTTTAGATCTAACATTAATATTCTGAGCAGACACACACTTTGATGCCTGGATCCAGTCATTGTAGAGTTCAAAGGTCATCAATGGCTCAGGAAGCTCCCGCAGGTAGGACTTCAGAGCACCTGGAGAGGACAAGGTAAAAGCTTGATAAATGCAAACTCTGCATGTGTAATGCATATGTTCCTGCATGAGCCCCGTGTCGCTATGATGACCAGCAGGTGACATAGTTATGTAGAGAGAAAGAGACAGTGGGAGACTGAAGTAGATGTTTCCTGAAAAGAAAGAACGTTGGACAGTTATAAACATCAACTGTTCAGTGGACTGTAATGTGTTTGATTCTGACTTTTGTTGTGGAGAAAAACAAACCTCAGCAGAAGCTGTAGACAGTGCAGGTATGAGTGATGTCTGATCTGAGTGTATCCATGGGAGTGACTGCAGGTTATTGCCTCATTTGATATGACAGGTTCTATGGAAATATGTGTGTCTTGTTTACCAAACCAAGTCCTTGTTATATCCTTTACTATCATCTGAAAACAATATCCACCTTCTCTCAGAGGATTTGTCACCTCAGGCAGCGACTGGTCCAGCGTACAGAAGTTTGGACTTTGCTCTCTAGCTTTCTTTAGTATTCGTCACACACACAAGTTCTGTCACTTTTCATGTGAACAACACTGTGTGCAGCATCAACAAAACAACCCTTCCCTCTCAATGACAGCCAGCGTTCACCCCACCTTTGAGCGTGGTCATTCAACAGCTAGAGACACTTTTGTTTTTAGACTGATTCAATCCTCCTTCTGACCTAAAAAGCTGTGAAAGCACTGGCTCTTTCCTACATCTCCATCACATCACTGTGGTTCCTGATGCTGGTTATTTAACTGTTCCTAGACTAAACCAAATGTTTTACACATTTGAAAAGAACTGTGGTGACTTCAATATAAATTTGTTAAATCCTAACAAGCACACAGGAACTGAGGAGTTTATTAACACAATATATAGATGCAGTTTACACCCCAAAATTACAAAACCAAGTAGAGTAACAACCCAGCATGCAACACTAATAGATAATATATTTACCAATGTTATTGACAGCAAACTGACAAGTGGATTAATTATAAATGATATTAGTGATCATCTACCAGTATTTGTGGTTTATGAGG